CTACATGAGACGCTGAAAGGTCACCAACTAGGACTCTTGTCCCTGCTGCTGTAGATTCTGTTTGCCCATATCCTTTAGATATGTAAAAAAAAGCATTAATTAAAAAGTAATAGGTACGACATATATATGTGATATTATATACCTCTATCAAAAATAACACCAAGAGCTATTCTTAAAAATTCCATAACGTCCTCACTTAATCGTGCCGAAGAAGAATACAAACGCCTTATATTTGCGCCAAGGATCTTGCCAATCTTTTTTTCTACAAATTTGTCCCATTCTTCATATTTCAACTCTCCAGTTTTTTTAAAATGTTCCAACTTTTTCTGATACAATTGCCTTGCTATTTCACCTTCTTCACCAGTCGCATCGACTGTAACAACTCTTATGCTTTTATATAATTTGTTAAATATTCTAGGTACACCGGGAAATGATATAGGTTGCAAAACTCGAACATCCTCAAATAATCGATTTTGATCTCCACTGAAATAACCAATCGATATACCACGCATAATTGACGAGAATTCGAACCTGAGACCATATATGTGAGCCAGAGGCAGATAAGAGATTGATCGAGATCCTGGAGGTACTTCAGGAAAGTCAAAAGGCAAACACATTGTTGCTACGAAATTACCATGACTTATCATTACACCTTTAGGTACATCAGTCGTTCCTGAAGTATACATGATTATAAATAATTCATCGGGTTGAGGTGGAATATGTTCTCTAAAATGTTGCTGTCCAAACTTTTCAATTTGTGTAAATTCGTATAGGAAGATATTTTTTTGAGATGCTTCAAGGTATAGAGATTTACAGGCAGAATTTTCAAAAGAATCAAGTGATATGATAGCCTTTAAAAATGGAAGCTTTTTGGAAAGATTTAACAGACGTTTGATGAGTGATTTAGAAGCGATTACTATTGAAGTTTCGGTATGTGTCAGGCAATATTCCAAAGCGTTGGGACCTTCAAATTTATTAAATAGATTCACGTATTAATATACTGTAAAAATTTGTAAAATAGATTGCATTTACATACTTTACCTAGAGTTTCATATAGCGGACAAACAATTAAACCGTATACAGATGCACTTTGATAAACTATATGATACTTTTAAATAAATTTTGTTGTAAATAAATGAATTTTACATTCTAAAACTTCAGTTATATCTCAACCTAAATTGTATCTCCTGTATTTATTATATATATTTTATCTTTACCTGAGTTATTCAGTCCGGGACAGCAAAATATATACAATTTTTATATATTAAATTTAAATAACTTTTTTAAAACAAGTTAAAATAAAATTTCCTCTTTAAATTTTGGTTTTTTTTTTTATCTAAATAACAAATTTGAAAGAGGAATTTTTAAATTTTTTAATTTTAAAAAAGCTACAACAGTTTGAATGTATGACTTTTATAAATTAGGTGCTTATATATAATTTAAAAAAAAATATTATATATAATTTTAATAAAACTTTTGATCTGTTAATATTTTTTTATATAGATTATTATTATAAAATTTTGGTTTACGAAAAAGATTGATATCTTTTGCTATCCCGAACTCTGTATATCCAAAAAAATCTTTGAACTAAAAGATGAATATAACTGAGTTTTGACTGTATAAATTTCACACTAACCTCAGGACGATTAATAGAACAAATTCCAATCTTAAATTTTTCAGCTTGATCACTTTTTATTATATTCATTTGAAGATGTAAAAGTCCATTTCCAAAGTTTATAATTCGTTCATTAACTTGTTCATATGTTTGCCATACATAATTTCCATAACTTCCTGTTTCTTCATCAAATTTGCGGAACCCCAAGCATTCTCTATTTTTAAACTTCTTTAATGCTTTTTAATTTTTTAAAAAACAAATTAATAAGGTGGTAGAATGTAAGCGTATAATTAATCAATTTCAAAAACATCAAATTACTTACAACTTTGCCAGATATCGCATACTTTAGTGATGCCAGGCTCGGGAGATATTTTAAGCTGACCTCCGGGATTTAATGAGTTTCTATAATGACCTTTATTATTATTATAATTTTTATGATTATTATTATAATTACTGTGTTATGATTATTATTATTATTATTATAATTATTATAATTATTATTATTATGATTATTATTATTATTATTATTACTATCATTATCGCTCGTTCTTTATAATATACCATCGACGCAAAAAAAACCATCAGTTCACCTGTTTGTCCACTCCGTTCTGTTCCCGGAACTATAAAAGACTGCTTATTATAATTAATCACAGGATTAATGAAACTCATTTTTATTTATGAAAATTTTAAATTTCCTGAAAAAATACGTCTTTATTATATAAGGCATATATTGTAACCGATAATTTTATCACATGCTTCATCGCTTCCGTATTTAGGTTGTTACCTACCTTCCATAATTATATCGTCATAGTCATGGTTAACCTTACCTTAGCACGTAGAATGCATTATTATGTATTCTTGGTACGTACATACGTACCCCGTAACCGAATTTATTTTGGGCGTCAACGCTGAGATCTAAACGTTTACGCTGTAGATTGAGCGTATACGCGGCACTAATTTCCCCCACTACTTCACTGTCAAAGGACTATAGAATTGAATCAGAAGTGGTGGGGAAAATTAGTATAATGTAGCGCTATAATCTTGGCTCCGACATCATGAGAAGTTAGAATGTATTTTAAAAAATCAGTTACGTACTGGAATTTAAAATTAAATATCGGCACTTAATAACTCAAATAGTACTAAATGACTTATCGACAAGTATATATATATTAAATAAAGCAATATACAATTATATTTTAATTTTATTTTCGCATATATGTATATTCTTTTTTTATTAACGTTACATCCATTAATTTACGCTATAATAATAATAAAAATTTCGAAAAAACGTTATCTTCTAAGTTAATTTTTATGTGTCGAAATTATTGTCGAGATGTTTTGAATTCTTAAATAAAATACATTAATGTAATTATTTGTGAAGTTCATGTAAAAATATGGCAACGGCGAAATTTTTTGCAAATTGTTTTTTTTTCAAAAATAATTTATACACCCATGTATATCATTGTACTGTACTATCCTTCTCGAAGTTTTTTCTTTAATAGGCCAATCGCGTTTAACTATTTTCTTCGTTGAGAATAAGTTCCAAATTTTCAATAAACTTTATCACTTATAATTTATTTTTATTAATACATAAAAAATATAGCCGACTCTTTCTATGACGAACAGACAGTTCTGAAAGAAATAAAAAGTTCGTTATAGAAAATTACAATGTTTTTTTAAGGACCCATGCTTGTATAATAAAATAAATAAATAGTACCTTCAATAGCTTTATCATTGTAACCTCAACATCACTAGCACTTGAATCATATTCGTCCATACTTAAATCTATTTTGGCTTCCTTATAATCACAATATTTACTTCGGGATTAGATAATGCGGCGGGTATATAGTTTGTTGAGGTTCATAAAGAAATGGATGTTTATTATTGCGTAGAATCTTATTAACATATTGAAAAAAGAGCTGTCCATGTTCCTAGTGATGGTGAAAGTAAATGTTTGCGAAGAGAAAGAAATATACGAACATCATCAACATACAGTATTTTTTAAAATCAGATTAAGTAAACCTATTTTTCATATATTCGCTTTTTACTTTCTTTAATACATGTTAAGCATTCAGGACGAGTTTTTTTTTACAAAAAAGTTTCTGATTTCTTCTCGATTTGCAATATAAAGAAGTAAAAAAAAATATATAGTTTTATCGCTTATTGTAATTTAAAATAAAAAATCAATTTTACATATTGGACCATCGGAACTATAAATTTGATTAAGTTCAAATCTTATCTGATTTTTTGGTTACGCTTGGTTCGTGTAGTTCATCCGACGAACCAAGTATCACCCTAAAAATCAGTTACGTTATAAAAGTTCAAGATATATTATAACTCCGGTTTTCTATATTACTAATTTATAATTAAATAATAATTTCGTAATAGACAAAATTATGTTATCGGTATAATTAAATTTCTCAAACACCAATACGTATTTAGAGACGATTTCAGAAAGCGTACATTGGATGAACTAAACCATCCTAGTATCACCCTAAAACTCAGATACGTAAACATACATTCTTTTATATAATAAATACTTACTAATCATATAAAATCCGAGTTTTCTAAGACTCTCGTATCTCTCTTACGTAAACCATCGGAGTTGCTGTCCATTCGATGGTAACAATACGGGCAAAAAAAAAAAAAAACCAACCCTAAAAACAACAATTTCCATATACATATACAGATATAGAGACAAAGTATAACGATAAAAGCATGTACGTAGATGATAATTAGATTTGTCAACTGCAGTTATTCGATGCTTCTGAGGTAAGCATCAACTTTTTTATATACATGATCACTTTTTAATTACGTTCACGCTTCGCCCACTTTTTCATATTACTTTGTAACTTGAACTCATACTTTTTTCTTGTAAAATATCTTTCACACTCCTCTTTATTCTTATTAATTGTGCTTAGAATATAAAATGATGAAGATTTGTGCATCATCAAATATAAAATGAGTGAACGAAAATTTATCAGTAATTAGGAAGTGACGAATAATGTATATGAAAACGTCAGGTGCTTACATAGAAAGTTTTGGATAAAAATATTATTATTACTAAGGTCAAAGGAAGTTAAAGTGATATTTTTATAAAGAGCATCTGCTAACACTTTTACCGCTTCAGTACTAATATTATTGTAACCAAGGTTTACCGATTTTGTCAGAATAAAGATATAAATCTGTTAAAATGTTATTTATATTGAGTGAATATGTTAATGCTTTCACTCCTTCGGAACAAAGTTGATTGTACAAAATATTTAAAGAAATTAAAGAAATGTTTTTGTAAAATATTTTGGCTATGCATTTTCTGCTTCTTCATCAAGTCTATTAAGTGACAAACTCAATAAGTGCAAATTCGTATTCGAATCAAGTCCATTTACCTAATGCTGATCTCAACACGATAAAGCTTCAGAGTCGTTAATACGATTTTTTTTTTTTTTGAAGAATCTCCACGATTGCTCTTGATCCGCGAAGTCCAAGCAGATCATCACCGATATATAAAGTGGACAAAATTTTGCTCTTTCAAAGTACTTCAGCTAGCAACACTAGTGGTGCGGTAAAAACTTTAAGAGTCAAGATAAACCGACATAACTAAATTATAAATCATAGTTTTAAATTACGGTTTGTTGTAAAATGTACATATGTTGTATTGTTGCAACATATCGATATAGCTATGCCATGTCGAAACAATATATTTAATCATCATCACCTGTTTTAAATCGATGATACCTGTTTTTTTTACCATCCATATTTACAATATAACTAAAATAGTTCGGTGTGTATTAGTTAATTATCTAGTTATGCAAAGTACTTATAATGTCCGCCTCCCAAATAATTTCCAACAGCAACATAACCACGACATTTTTTTTAGGCAATTTGAAGCGAAAGCTAATACTATCATTATTTTGAATTGAGCATTTGATAGTTGTTAAGAAATATTACTATATTCGGATAATGTGTATGAATTAATTTATTTCGATTGTAAAATCATTAGGTGTATTCATTATGAAATATACTAACACTAATATTAATTTAAAGTTACGAGCCAATGATTATTACGACACACTGGCTGTATGTCGTAAAATTAATTGAGATGATTCTACCGCATTACTAGACAACACCAATCATTTTGAGCCAAGTTGATTACATGATAGTCCTAGGGTTGTTAATGTTCTATTTACAATAGGTCTTTAACTTTATAAGAACATTTTAAGTAATGATGTTTTCGTAAGAACGTTCTTGGTAAAGATATTTTGATTAATTTAAAGAATATCAAGTCCTTAACTCTATGGCTTGTTCGTAAGGACAGTCTAAGTAAAGACGATTTGATTGCTTGAACCACATTATTAGAATCTTTTATGTTATATCTTTCGTTCTTGATCCAATCAAGTATTTCATCGTCCGAACAAATATGGATCGAATTGATATATGATGTACCGTATATTTGAATAGTATAGTTTCAGAGCTTTCTTTCGTTCTTGATCCGATCAAGTATTCCATTATTTGAACGAATAATGATCAAATTGATATATGGTGCATATTTTAATATGGGCTCAGATTATTTGAAAATGTTATTTGAAATGGTATCAATAATGTTTGTTTCTTGGCATTTAAAGCCTGAAAAAATTTGTTCTTAATTACGGAACAATATTAATTTGTTCCATAACACTGGAATAACAATCTCCATTTGCAAGACAATCGAATAAACTTTTATAATCGGTCTTTAAGGTTAAGAAAAGGTTTTCACTTGGTAGTGATGAAGGTTGCCTAAGTTGGTGTAAAATTTCTCCTTGATTTTCTAGAATTTTAACTAAGGTTCTGTCTGGTATTAAGCAAAAAAAAAAAAAAATAAAATAAAAAATTTCAATTTGACCTTTAAATAACTACGTAGCATATTGAAATTTTCTAAATTATTAATATCGATATCAATACGTAACGGTAATACTTCATGGAAGTCGATAATTTAATAAACTTGTATGATTTCATAATGATTAATTAGATGTAAAAATTATATCATAGACAGTTGGGTATGAGTGTAATTTTGCAGTAAGTATGATCGGTCGCGTAAGCGGGTAAGCGGCCGATTATACTTTACTGCAAAATTTCGCTTACACAGGATACAGCAGAGACAGTGCCCGATCCAAATGTGATGGATATAATCCGCCACCAGTACTAGGAACAGAGTGATGCAAATCACGAGTATCGGTATATGGTTATAATTTTTTCCTGTGTCTCTCACTTTCGTATTTGTCTAATCCATTAAGTTGTCACATACCTTCCATAAATGTATCGTCATAGCGATGTTAATCTTACCTTTAGAATATTAGGCATCCTTATGTCTTCTTAGTGGCTTAACCCATGTGAATTTCTCCTAGTTGCGTGTACGCGATATTTGGAGCGTATACGCTCTCGCATAAACTTGATAGAATGAGTTGCGCATGTGGGATTCAGAGTTATAACATAGATGCTATATTCTTAGCATAGACCTCATAAGAAATAAGAATGTATTTAAAGGTTGCTCTTGCCCATAGCTCATAGGGAAGAATGCTCTCTGAAATCGTCTCTAAATAAAGAATACATAAACCTACATTCTTTTATATAATAAATGCCGAATTCCTTAATTTATCATCATGCACTGCATTTCTTTTACGTCAACCATCGGAATTAAACTCGGCATGATTGTCGGAAGCTCGATGGTGATATTATACGGCACTTTAAATAATGTTTGTCTGCAAAACCTCGTGAAGGATTGACAATGCTACATCATCACATGGATCTGAACTTGTATATATTAAACTTGCTTTATTACTAGTTTGAATGTGAGAAATATGATCTTGTCGTTTGAACTACTATTTGTCCACATTACAATATTAAAAAGATGAAATAAACATAAATTCAAATTCGATGTCATTACGTATTTCGCTAACATAGCTAAGCAAGAATAGCCGGAAGCAATCAGGTTAGGCGCAGAAGTGCCACCATTAATGAAGCATATGGACAAACCCAAATTTGGTGATCGACATTGTGGCTTAGCCAATTTAATAAAAAAAACTTTTAACTATTAATATACGTTAAAGTACTTTTTATTCTCGTGATTTTTCAATATATTTGTAGCCACGGGCTACTGTAGCCGTAACTAAAATAATCATTTTTTTGTTCATTAGGGTTATGGTGAGGTAAAGATAGTATGTGGGTAAAAGTAGATATTTTATAGTAAAATTTGCAAGGAATTTTTTTTTTGTTAGAACCCAACGAGTAGTTTCATATACTCAATCTTGAATTATAGACGATTTTTGACAATTTTTGATAAAGCGAATGTTTGTTTTGAATTTTCCTGATCATGTTACGTTACATTTTATCTTTAAAATTGATTGGATGTGACTACAGTAGCCATGGCTACAAATATATTACTTCATTCAAAATTTACCAATTAAAATACATTTTAAAAAAAAGTAGCGAAAAGAATTTATATTTTTTTAAAATTAGTCCCAATATTTAAAAAGTTTTATTAGAGACGAAGTTTATAAAAGATCTAAGGTCGAACATGTAATTCGAGTACACGAAGGCATTTCAGTGTTAAAGTAAGAAAGAATGTCATGTAACTAAGATTTGGTACTTTGTGAAGAAGCACAAAGCGACCTCAAATAACGTTTATGCAAAAAACTAAGTAAAAGGTTAAGTTTACTACGTTTTATATTATTAAAATATAAAAAATTATAATATAATAATATTTTTTTTATTAAATTATATATATTTTACTAAATTTTAACTATTATTATTCTAAGTTACAATGCAAAAACGGTTTAAAAGAATAAGTCTTATTAGTTGAATGAAGTAAAGATAATAAATTTCTAAAGAAACCAATTTTTAATAAAATAAATTGGGGGTCAGATTATTGATGATATTTCATTAACCCATAGTTGAAATTTGACAATTTTTATAGCATTCGATTCATCTCAATGAGATGAATCGGATGATATAAAAATTATTAAATTCTAGTCATTAGATCGCGAGATATCTTCGATCTTGTAAAATAAAAATTTTATCGATTATAACAAGGCCACATAAATTTAATATATTGATTTTCATAACAAAACTTTTAAACAGACCCGGCCGGCCGGGGGGTTTTTTTTTAAAATTTCATATATAAAACTTTCATAAAATTTTTATGAAATTTTTTTTTTAAATCCCACCCGGTTATTAAAACATAAAAATTTTTTTTTACAAGTTTTCAAATTTTGACCCGGCCGGGTTATGAAAATCAATCAATTAATTTTGCATGGCCTAAATGTGATTGTCCATTAATTTCATGTGATTGACGATCCTAGATTTTTTTATTGGACAACTTGGCTACTAATGAGGGGCCAGGTTCATTTACATAATGATTTACAAATTGCATAAATTGCGTTCTTGATATCTTTATAAAACAATGTTCATAACTACATCAGAAAAACTAAGCCTGGCTTTGACGTTCCTTCTAATTGAGCATGCAGATTATCTAAGGCAATGAGCTAGCAAGTACATGAGGTCATGTATGTACGTACATACACAAGTATACAATAATTAACTGCTTAATTTAGAACTATGATATATGTAATTCCTAATCCCTTAAACTATTTGGAATTTAGTACAAATTTATACTGAATTTTATTATAAAAATATTTTTGACTTATTTTTTAAAAAATTAATATATTTAAATAAATTTTTTTTTTTAATGATATTTGAAAATAAAAATTATTTTTTTGTAGAATTTATATTTAAATTATAAGGCAAAAATTTAGAGGAATTTATATATAAAAGTTCTAAAATGAAAATAATTACAAATGAGGGTTCAAAATAAAAATTTTTACATATTGTGAGCCTAATTTTTGGGGTCACAGGTGCCTGAATCGAGGTAATGATCCTTATCCAATCCAAGGTCATGTGAAAAGTAACAGAAATGTTACTTAAATAGTACTTATAGTACTTATAGCACTTATGTCACTTCTGCTACTTCAGCCATATATGCATTAAATAACATATCAGCCTTTTATTACATTTAGCAAATATATGAAATATAAGAAATATTTGATATTTATGACATAAATTGATTACAAATGTAAATAAGATGTTTATTATAAATAAAGAACATTTCCACTCTGGAAAACAATGTCAAGTTATTACTTTTGTAAATAAATCTTCAAGTACCAATAAATATCCAATCTATAATAAATATAAGTATTATAATAAACTTATAAACCACTATCAACTCCACTATTGTCCATATTATTTATTCATTTATAAATTACTAACTTACCATTGATGATTCATTACAAGTCATATAACAAGACTGTAAATAATAGAAAAGTCTCAACTCTGATTTAATGTAGAGTAATCCTGGTTGAGGTAGACAAGAAAAGAGTAGATTAGTAAGAGAAGAGATTGCAGAAAAGAATTAGAAAAAGAGATACAAATACTTATCTATGGATAAACCATTAGCCAAATCTAATATATCTATTTCAACTTAGCCATCATAAGTTATGTAAAAGTTGGATTAGTTTAGCAACAGACTCATTAATTTTCAGAATCACAATATAATAGTCTAAAATCAAAAATTATTACAAATAAAAGCCTGTTTGATCTCTGAACTATACTAAGAGACTAAATTACAAGACTTAAATAGCTTTATTAAAAAAAATACTAGTCAGATTTTTTATTGTTTATCATACTTAATACAGTAATAATAAATATTAAAACTTTGATTTTTATTTTTACTTTGATTTTGACTTCATTTTAATTTTTACTTTGACTTTTTTTTTGCTTTGACTTTTGCTTTAACTTATATTTTTGATTTCACTATAACTTTTACTATAACTTTTATTATAACTTTTACTTTGACTTTCATTTTGACTTTAACCTTCTTTTTAACTTTATTTTAACTTTCAAGAATTTTTATAGTTTTGATCAATCATTTAAATAAGCTATTTAAATTCATGAATATTTCATAGTTTTTTTATTTACAGTAAGAATCATAAGTATCTTACCCTTCTTAATTTTTTAAATTTAAAAGCTATAGCTTTGAAACTTTTACAGTAAGTAATACAATAAAAATCTAGATCAGTAAATTTTTTTTATATTTTTTTAATTACTACAACAAAAGTTAGATAAGAGTCAACTTTTTGTTAAGTTTTTTTTAATAAAAAATCAATTTCTTGACAACTATCTCATTAAATTAACTCAAATTTTTTATTTTAGCTATAAAAATGCTTGAATTTTAATATACTAAGTTTTAAAATATTTAGTTTTGATCCTGATTTTTTATTAATTTTTGATCATTTCAATTATTTTTCTCTATTTTTTTAGAAAAAACTCAACAAAATGTTGACTCTTATCTAACTTTTGTTGTAGTAATTAAAAAAATATAAAAAAAATTTACTAATCTAGATTTTTATTGTATAACTTACTGTAAAAGTTTTAAAGCTATAGCTTTTAAATTTAAAAAGTTAAGAGAGGTAGGGTACTTATGATTCTTACTGTATTAATATTAATTTATTTAGTAAATACAAAAGATTTTATAACAACTCTTTTCAACAATCATTTAAATCAAACTTTTCAAAAAGTTAAACTATAGAAAAATAATATAGTTAGTATATTAAACTTTATAAAAATCTTTTTAAAATACTATATATGCATTGTTAGACATTAAAATAAAGTTGAAAAAAAGTTACAGCCTTGTGATAATAGTTTAAAGAGCACCTAGAACTATAGAAGAAGTAGTCAGTAAAAGCCAAGGTTTCTCATCAAGTAAACAACAAAGTTGAATATATTAGAACTATACAACTATAAAACTTACAAAGAACATTCACAAGAATTAGAAACTCGAACTTTTTTTTCAAGAAAAATTTTATAAAAATGGGTAATTCAATTTATTTTCTTTTAAAAATTGACATGTAAAATCATCAAAACAGTCAGGAGTGTTTATTTTCTAAACAAAATTTTTAATAATATAGATCAGAAATAATACAGCAATACAAATATGACTATACATATGTCTTAAACTGCTAAAAACCTGTCAAATACTGTCTCTAAATTAACTAGTATTCTATGCTGACCTTCTATAATAATATTAAAGTTTTTTCTTCTTTTTGGTTTTTTGTTTAAATAATCTAAGTAAATAGAAAAATTGTAGAATAATTTCTATTTAGTATAGTTTACAATTTTTACAAGTCTTGCATAGACTTATAATTGTGATTATCTGATATCTATAAATTGTAAGTTTTATACCCAACATAGAATTAAAATTGTAACTATCTGATTTTTTGTGAATTTTTTTTTTTTTTTTTTTTTAATTTTAGCAATCACACTAGTACTTTATTAGGATTCTTGAAACTATACAGATTATATAGAATTTTCCTGATATATAAGTTTAGCATTACTTAATCATCTAAATAGTACCTAAGTATAACCTGCTACACTATTCCAGTTAGAGATAGACTGCTTGTCTGACTGCCACCCTACAATAAAACATCACCAATCTGATGATATTTTTTCATAGGAAAGCAAAAAACAAAAAAATTTTTTATGTAAAAAACAAAATAGAGGTATAGGGATAAATAATAAAAAATACAAATTAAGAAATAAAAGAGAAAAGTAAATAAACAAGAAAAAGGAAATGTTGAAACTTGCAATTCACAAATATTAGATGATTACAATTGTATACCTATGTCAGGCCTTTAAAAATTATAAACTATACTAAATAAAAATAATTCTATTATTTTTTTATTTACTTGGATTATTTAACAAAAAACTATGTAATAAAAAAAAATCTTCAACATGATTGTAGAGAGTCAATATAGAGCACTAGTTAGTCTTGAGGCATTATTTTCAGATTTTTAGTATTTTGAGGCATATATATAGTTATGTTTGTATTATTGTCTTTTTTTTGATCTATGTTATCAACAAACTCATTTAGGAAGTAAACACTGCTGACTGTTTTGGTAGTTTTATATGTCAATTTTTAGGAGGTGGTAAGCTAAATCACCCACTTTTACAAATTTCCTTAAAGCAAAATAAAGGCAAAAGGTGAACCAACTTTGTAGCTTTTGTGAGTTCTTGACCTTTATAAATGTTTTTTGTAGGTTTTACAGTTGTATAGAATTAATATATCCAA